GCCAAGTGGCCCTACATCACATTCCTGGAGGCGCCCCTGCTTCTACCAGAAATCAAAGCACCTTCTTCATTTTCATTCATTATTTTAACATTTATAAAAACAAGATCATTTCTTAAAACAAACAATAATAAAACGAATTATGTCTCCATAAACATATCTAATTGTTACTTCCATAGAAATATAGGCAATTTAACAGGTGAACAATAACAATATTTAGTATTTAAAAGCATTGTTTTGATGAGTTAGGAAATATCACAATTAGGAAATCCAACCAGCAGCAGGTCAAACAAACAAACAAACAAACAAACAAACAAACAAACAAATAAATAAATAAATAAATAAATAAATAAATAAATAAATAAATAAATAAATAAATAACAGGGGAAAAGCTTTGGTGTTCACATTTTTTGCAGCAGAAAGTAATCACTGGGTGTAAATCTACAACTTATTTAAATTTTCTGTCTTATTGAAGATGGCTTCCACATCCAACTGAGCAGACCTTAAAAACACAAATATTTCAGTTTTTCACTTCTACAGGTCTATTTGTGAGGTAGAAAATGAATTTGTAACACAAAGCCCCAACTGATCTCATATGTTATTTGTTTATAATTTTGCCATTAACTATTTAGTGCCAACTCTGACTGTTCGCAAAATATCTCCTGAACCACAAGACAGATTTTAACAAATTTTCAAGGAAATAATCACTGAATGCAGATCTACAGCTGACTGATTTCAGCAAGACAACGAAGACACATTCTGCTCATTTTCCAACAGTGTGGCTTCAGAGTAAAAGAGTGCAGGAAGTAGACTGGCCTGTCTGCAGTCCAGACTTGTCTCCCATTGAAAATTTGTGGAACTTTATGAAACACAAAATACAAAAAAAGACCCTGAACTGTTGAGCAACTGAAGTTGTTCTTCAAGCAAGAATGAAAGAATTCCAGCTACAAAGCTTCAACAATTAGTGTTCTAGTGTTTGCTKTTTGAGGAGATACGGCTTGGACTCAACAAATGTTTGTTGATCTATAGAATGAAAAATATGAATCCAGCACAAGTCACATTGGGAACAGTGTAAAATCGTCCATGTTGGGCATTATTAACATCGTCTGTCAGCTGAACAAAAGCGACTGTATCACTGTACAATGAGCTGGTGAAAAAACAGACATGCATTATCTGGACTGCATTCAATTTTGCAGGGCACACAAGCTACCATATGTGGGTCTGATGATTCTTCCTCTTCATTGAATCAGTTTTTCTAAATCTGTTTAATCAGTTTTCTTTTTTAGACAGATCACCTGTGAAACACAGATGGCCAAAKAAACTAAAAACAGCTAAAATAAGTTGCTCAACTGCATTTTACAGGTTTAGCAAAAAAAAATTGTAGATGAAATATTAGAGGCTCTGTTTTTTTATCCTTTATTTATACAGGAAAATTTCTTGAGACTCTGWCTCATTTACAAGACAGAGACCTGTTTGTTGTGGTGCAAGCAGACAAAACCACAGATCTGCTCTTCTTCTGAATAAATGAAAATTATGTAACAGTTGTTTACACTTAAATTACAAATGTTTTACCAATGGAAAATCGGACCAGGACTAGAGAGAGATTTTAATAAGATTTAGATTTTTATTTCAGGACATTAACAGCAGTCATTATATGGAGGTAAATTTGTGTTTTTATGATTCAAACAAACAAAAAGCATCTTTAATCAAGAATAATAATTTCAATCAAAAATAATTTTTTCAACCAAACAAAAAATAATTTCAATCAAAATTAATATTTTCAACCAAAAAATAATAATTTCAACC